AACTATGTGAACATAAGAAAACTTTATTTCTTATATTTTATATTCATTGTTTATTTAACAGATGATAGTTTATCAGATGATGATACAAAAACAACAGCAATGTCAGCATCATGCATGCACAAGGCTACAGTAACAGAAGGTTCTTGCAATAGTATTTCACGCAAAACAAAAACTACAAAACGAATAGCTAGACAAGCACAATTAAAGAGGTATGTAACAAAGTTATTTTATACTCTTATAGTAATTCAATCATTTATAATTCTCTTATAAATGTTCCAAAGGTTGCGTATGGCTCAAGAGATACAGAGAAAGCTAGAAGAAACAGAAGTTAAACAAAGAGAATTGGAAAGCAGAGGTGTTAGCGTTGAAAAAGCTCTTCGTGGTGAAGGCGGTAAGAATCTATCGCTACAACAAATTTCATTGTAGACGCTCAAAATAAAAAGTACTTATAATATTTAGAATGTTCTGATCGAGAAGAAGCGGATTTACTCAGAGAGTGGTTCGATCTTATGAAAGAACGCACGGAATTACGCAGATACGAAAAGGAGCTTTTGGTACGAGCTCAAGAGGTTCAACTTGAAGATCGTCATGAAAGATTGCAACAGGAATTGCGTGAACGCTTAGCTGATGATGGTTAGTGTTTTCTTACAATGTTTCAATTTTTATTAATGGTTTAATGATATAATAGTAATAAGTTATATTTTATAATACATTTATAAAAGGATATTAGGAGGATTAGGATATATTAACATTTTACAGATGATAAAAAGACCAGCGCTGATGTGAAAAAAGAAGGAGAGATTTTAACAGAAATGTTGGAAATAGTTGCAAAGCGGGACTCGCTCATTGCTCTTTTAGAAGAGGAGCGTCAAAGGTGGTGTAAATCTACATGCCAAACATTAACTTCCTTTCCTACACATACCGTTGCCTGTTTTTCGCACGTATCTAATTTCTTTTCTCCTGATTTGAGTGATACATCTTCTGTGCTCACTTTAGTAGTCATTTTAATCATGTATGTGTTTTTGACTAACTTAATAGAATTGTTCATTAACTTTTACAATGAACCGCTAACGCTTTTCAACTCTTCATACTTTTCTAAATTTTCTTAATTTCATAAATGATATTTAAATTTCTCTATTTTCATTTATATATTACAAATATTAAAAAGTTCTTAAGCTCCTTTACAGCATTTCTATTCCATTAATTTTATACATAATCGTATCGTACGATTACATATAAAAGCTATAAATCGTTCACATTATAGCTCAGTGTATTTTGTTATATCATTTTTTTCTATAGAGTATTATATATTTATTTTATAAAGACTACTATATTAACTAGTGATCACAGTATACAGTTTTTTCCATTCACTTGTAATTTTACATTGCATGCAGAAGAGCAAATTAGGAGTGTTATTTTTTACATTCTTCTTTTACAATTTTTAAATTTTTATTGTAATTCAGTTACGCATGTTGTTCATATACACATTTTTTTTGTTTTTTTTTTACTATAAGTATTTTTTTGCATCGTAATAAAGTGATGTATTTGTATATTTGACTGTATTGTAGTGCTGTTGAGAGAATGAAAATATTTTAATTGTATTTAAAATTATATTTGATCATGTACAGGGTTAAAAATATAGCATTGTTAAAATTATAGAAATGTAATTGTTGTTAGGTTTTAAAGTATTCTTTGATGGATACTTTGATAAAAATAAAATATGTTACTATATGTGTTTATGGTAATTATTTCCTAAACACATATCACTGTTAAAAGACCTTACAGGCAAAGTTTTTAAGCAATAATTGTTAATTAAATAGATTTTTGTATAAGAATGGAAGTATATTATATATTTTCATAAAAAATTTCCGTTAATTTCATTCCATACATTTTTAAAGAAATATTTGATAACACATAATAAACCCATTGACGTACAAAAATATTTTAACATATTTGGTTGCTTTATATTAATTATTACTATGTTCCATTTGCACGAAATAAAGACGTTATCATTGCATATTTCAATCCTGACTATTGTATTTAGTTAATGGAAGCATACTTTTCTTTTAGGTATCAAGATGAAGATCGTGACCTTGAAGCTCAAATGTTGGCTAAAGGCCTCAGATTAACACCAATAAAAAAATGTGGTCCTAAGTATTCGGTTTAATAGGAATCACATTATTGTACATATACTCCATTCTATATTTCCATTCACAAATTCTAACAAATAAGTAATTTAATTATGTTGTAAATAAGAAACAGATCTTACAAGGATGAAATGTCTTACAAAGATCAAAACTTAATTGTCACGTAACTCTTTTGTATGTTGAAGTTTTAATTCAATTGCAAGTCTTTTAACACAAAAATGCAAATATGCAAATTTCATATATTCATCCTCTTTTAAAGAAAAACACGGACCAATTATTTTATTTTACATCTCCATTTTTTACAGATTGTTTACTATGACATCTATTTTAAGCTGTACACATCATATGTATATAATTTTAAGGAATTCGTTTTATTTGTAGTATACTTTTTATCTACTGTACATCATATGTTTTCAAATTGTCCGTACACCAAGTGGAATTGTATTATAAATGAATTTCTTAGTCCTCATTGCTTAAGATTTAAGGTAAGATAACATAAGATCAAGCAAAAACATAAACTTTAGTGCACATTTACAGAAAAAATTGTGCGATCTGTATAGGAAAACTCAATATGACATATATGGATTTGAAAAAAATTTTATGAATATATACATATATTTTATCATTGCAAACACAAAAAATTCTGCCTTTACATGTAAATCAATCAAAATATAATCATTATACATATACGTAGATTTGATTATTTGCAAACACAAAATGTTGTATTTTGAGATTTGATATAGTAACTAAACAAGAAGTGATATGGGAAATACCTTTTGCACTACAATAATGTGCATTGCAACATACACAGACACATGATATGTACATTATACAATTAAATAAGATGTATAAATCTATTTTTATGTTTACAAAGAGACTGGTAAATGGAATGTATAAACAATTGTAGGATTTTAATAACCCACAAACATGTAAAGTTTTGTATGAAATATAATTGGAAAAATGAACATATATTTACTATTAGAAAATAATGTTGAAATCAGCCTGTTTCCTTGATACATATTTAACTCGTACAATAATAATGTCAGTTACAAATATTGAAACAAGCTGCCAATGTTTCAGCCTCAAATGTTAAACATTTAAACAGTAACTTAAAATGTAAAAATATAATAATAATCCTAACATAAATAAAAATATAAAGTAATTGAATACAAATCATTACACACTAAATTGCAAAATGTAGGTAGGGAATGTAGTATCATTCAAATCATTATTGCCATTCATATGAATTAACGAGCAAATGAATGTTAATCAATTTTTTTAATGCTTTAATTAAATTGCTACTATACTATACAAAAATATTTTTGTATATTATAAGAGACCTAAATGCCATTATAAATGTATTAATAAAGTATATATCATACAACATATAAATATGTAGAATGTAATAAAATTAAAGAAAACCATATAAAGATGTAGAAAGTAAGCATTTTTAAAAATTAGACTATTACAAATAACAGTTTATCATGAAGGCTAAAATATACTAAATGCTATATAAGTCAGTATCGCTTAATCCTTTATACATTTAATTAATAAACTACATTAAAAATTACTAAATTGAAAGTCCATAAACAATATTTTTTGTTTCTTTGCATATTTACATTTAATATTTTAATACTCAATATTAGTTCTTCTAAACTTCTTTGTTAAAAATGTTCAATATAAAAAAATTGGTTTTTTAACCTTTATCAATAAAAATAGGTTATCTCTTACAGGACGTATCATAATAACACATTAATTGCCTAGACTTATATTAATTAATTATGAAATTCAACTCATTTGGGAAAGTTCTACAATGTTCATAGCAATCATGGGTGCCTAGAAGGTGGAATTGTACAACATGTATGTAATTGAAAAGAAATCGTATAAATAGTAAATTGAGAATTTATGTTCAACATTTGTGAAGAAATAAATCTGTATAAAACTAGTTTTTTGTAAAGGAGAATGAACAATAATGTGATTCATGCAACATATTTATTAAAATATAATTTAAATCATCGCAAAAACATTTGATTTTAATTCAAATGATATATTGCACAAAATCACATATTATCATTTACTTTATTTACGTCATCATAGCTTTGTATAAAAAATTACATTTTTTCCATACAGTAAATTACAGAATAATAAACGACAGAATGTACTCACAATATGTAAATATAATATAACTTCTATTAACAAAAAAATAATATTTTCTACTTTATTAACAAAATCTTTGAATTAGGTAAAAGATATAAGAAGTATATATATTTATATTGTTTAATATTATCATAATCTTTATAAATATTAAATCTTTTTTACAATAATAACAAAATAATTTATCTGTTTATAAATTCTTAAGTATCTTTCTTGATATAATTCTTTTTCTTTTTTAGATAAGTATTTGTCTTCATTACTTAAAAAAAATTTAACTGAATTTTCTATTAATTATTATTATTATATTATATTATTAAGCAGTGATTTAAAAATTAATTTATAAGCAATTGTAACTGTCTGAAAAATTTTTTAGATATAAATAACATAAAAAAGAGATATTTAAACATTTCAAGTTCAAAACTCTCAAACGTATTAACTTATTTATTTAAAATATTTAATAGATATCATTTTTAAGATTATATTGGAATCAAAAAGTCGATCGATTGATATCCAGACGTGGATATATTTATTTTTTGATTACATACATAGATATTTCTATATAACGTAGATACTTATTTATTTATTTATTCTCCGCCTTAATTTAACGTTTGAACGTATCACGTGATTTTCATATTTTTAGCGCGCATCGTATCTATATCGCGAAAGTATACAACTAGCCAATAGGAATAAGTATGAAAATATTCGTTAATCGAGCAGTGGGGAAAGGGAGTGACGAGTGACTACGAATTACAATTAGCGACACAACAAATGAAAGCGTGACGTGAATACGCTGGTTTGCCATACCACGTCGGGATAATGTCGTTCGAGAAGAAAAACGTTGTTCGTTTGTAAAGCAGGCTACGTGAAAAGCCCCGTAATTTAATCGAGGCACTGTTTTATCGCACAGTTGCCAGAAAATGGAAGCAGACTATCAACCGACGCTAAGCCCAACACGAACTTTGACAGGTGAGCTTATCCGTCGCGATTGTTGACGTTGCTTTAGGTGTCAAATAAACGTCACACCAAAGTACAATATCGCCGAAAATCGTGATTGTAAAAAAGTTCACCTGGCATCGACGTTTTTCTGTTCGTTCTAGCGAGAAAACATTTCACGATGGATCTCAGTCTCCTATGTGGAAAAGCACATCGATAAGTGACGAATAATTCGCGTATATGACACGATAGTGCGTATTAAAAAAATTTCAGATTTGATCATAACTTGACATAGTTTCAGTCTTTCGTTCAAATATACATAAACGTATCAGTAGAAAATCCGTTTTCTTCTTAAGTTCCACAATCGTAGTGGTTTGTAAACATGGATGAAATACCATCAAAATATTTATTGGAGATCATATATACCGTGTAATGTGATCAGGGGAAAATTGATATATAACGAGAAACCGCGAGATGTATACTAGTCATCAATTTATTATGATACTTGTTTTGCAAAGATGTTTCTTTTTTTTTAATATTACTTAACATTTTTTAAGTACCTATTTATAATGCAAAACCACTGATTGAATAAATAATTGGCAATGGCTGATGTAGTGTTTTGTGATTCATTGATACATATTTGGTGTAGACAATAATGCGCATACTTCTGTTTGTATGATAGCAATAGCTAATGACGTCGAAGACCCATACCCAAGTTTGTCAGATTATCATGATTATGAGCCCAACTTGGAGTTCGATGATACTGAGTTACAGACCACTTCAAATAATGGTAAGATATTTCAATATAAAAGAAATTCAGATTACTAAGTGTAGAAAGTTAAAAGTAGTTTTATGTAATAGTATAAATATGTAGAATATTATCTATGAGATATTTACCATGAAACATACTTTAATCTTTAAGTTATTCTTTTAAGAAATTTAAGTTAATTACTTGTGTTACTATTATATTTCTCTTGTAAATTCTTACATTAAATTCAAATAGGGTTTCACACAAATAATTATCTTATAATATAATTGATGTAATGATTTTATAGCTGTACAACTTTTAGAAGAAAAATTGGACATAATTAGCAGTGGTGCTGGTACTGGGATAGATTATTTGGAGAGTCCAGTAAGCGATGGGACAATTGAAGAAAACTTTGAAGAAGCTTTGGTAGATGCTCCAGTTATCGAATCCGGTGTGTGACCTTTTATCTTCTGTTAGTAGCCACTAAATGTCATGGCATTTGGGGCTTAGCAGGTGAATTATGTAGATCATTGTACAGTTTATTATTGCATGGTATAAAAATGCACAAAAGCAAAGGTTAAATGACTCTTTTACTTGATCTGCAATTCATTCATTATTTTGGGTATTTATTTTATAAAAAGAGTCAAAGGGAAACCAAAAGGAAATTTAATGTAGAAATAAAAGATTATTATGAATATACTCTTTCATGCTGAGTAGCAGAGGATCTTGCTGCATTGGACGGTGAACTTGCGGATGAAGAAGATTATCTTGATATATCGAGATATGGCATTGTAGAAGTGGTTGGTGATGATAGTGCTGGTCGTAAAATAATAGTAGTATCTGCATGTAAATTACCTCCTGTTGGAAAAGAAGCGTTTAATCATGCTAAACTTCTCAGGTTTGTGACATAAATATATGAGTATAATATATATAGATATACATATCTTTTCTAAGATTTATTTCATTATTTTTAACAATACATTTATTTAACAGGTATCTCACACATACTTTAGACACATTTGTAGAACAAGATTATAGTTTAATTTATTTTCACTATGGTCTTACTTCAAAAAATAAACCACCATTATCCTGGTTATGGCAAGCATATAAAGCTTTCGACAGAAAGTATAAAAAAAATTTGAAGGCTTTATATCTAGTACATCCAACTAATTTTATTAGAATTGTATGGCAAATATTTAAACCAGCTATTAGGTAATTATTTCTTACTCAGTTGATGAATATTTTCTTTCAGTTATTATATTAATCTTGATATTATTGTTATTTCTTTAGTGCAAAGTTTGGTCGGAAAATGATGTATGTTAATTATTTGGAAGAACTGGCACAATATATTAATCTTGATCAACTTATTATACCTCCTCAAGTAATAGAGTAAGTGTTTCTTTCGTAATTATAAAACTTTTAGATTTATATCAATATTAATTGATTACATTCATTTGTAGACACAATGAACAGCTAATGTTAAAGAACAAAAAGAATTTACCAACCAGTCCACCTCAGAGTGCGGTGACAACACCAGTTGGTACCACTCAATTTGGAGCAAGCCTTACTTTTATTAAAGAAAATAATAATGGCGATCCTATACCACCAATAGTGCGACAATGCATTGAATTTCTTGATACACCAGATGGTATGCTTATAATTATGTAATTTGTATAATTCAGTATCTTTCTTTAAAAAGGCCATGATAATAATATTATCATAATATTTCTTTGAAGATAACAATTGTAATATTATCACGCTTATAGCTTTAGAAACAGAAGGAATATTTAGAAGATCAGCTAATGTAGCAGTAGTTAAGGAACTTCAGAATCGTTGCAATCAAGGATTGCCTGTTGATTTCCAAGGAGACCCACACATAGCAGCTGTTCTTCTTAAAACGTTTCTTCGAGAATTAGATGAACCTCTTATGACGTATGAATTATATGATGAAATAACGCAATTTCAAGGTAAATATTAAAATACAATTTTGTTATTTATTGATATTGAGTATGACATAATATAAATATTTTCATATTCTCATTTTAGCTCTATCGAAAGATGAACGCCCAAGAAGAGTTAAAATATTAGTACTTGAAAAACTTCCAGAAGATAATTACCAACTCTTAAAATATATCGTACAATTTTTATCAAGGGTAGGCTATTACTTTAATGATTACGTGATTTATTATTTTCCTTCTTATATATAATTTTATGATAAAATATATCTATATTTATAACAGGTAATGGACAGGTGTGATTTAAACAAAATGACATCAAGTAATCTCGCCGTCGTATTTGGTCCAAATCTTGTCAGAGCACCACCATCACGTGGAATGTCACTCTCCGCGATAGGTCCCATTAATCAATTCATAGACTTTTTATTTACTCATCAGGATAAAATATTTATTATATAAAGAAAATATAAAATCGAACGCTAAAGGCCTAATTTGGAACGAAATTAATATTTTATGTATGTTATAGAACAGAAATCCTATAAATTCGGCTGCCATGTTTGATATTGTATAAAATTTACATAATACAACTTCGAAGAAAATTTTATAGGATTTTTATTGAAAAGTATGAGAAGTTCCTGAGACTTTCATTTTAGAATGTAAAAGCGAGAATCTCTTTTAGAATCTTCGAAGTCATATCAAACTTGTTGGAATTCGAAGCGAACGTAACAATTCGTGTATAATATTCATATTTAATTATAACATTCGTACTTTGTTGATTAAAATATTTTTATATTCAAATATACAGATAGAGAAATACTTGCATACCTAATGTCACAAACAGCGTTTAATTATACAGCTTGCACAAAATTTTTTTCTAGTAAATTGGTATCATGATTTCAGGATTAACATAAGGGACGTTAAAAGTAATGTAAATGGTCTGGTTGCTACGTAATTCAAAAGTGTGCAAAGTTATATAAAAATTAATGGTATACCAAAGATATATAAAAATATCATGAAATTATAAAATGTAGGATTATTTAAAGATAGCATAATATAGTAAAACTAGACGAGCAAATTACGATGATGTACAGGATGCCTTGCTCGCATAATTTTATTAACGTAAGGATTAAAATGGCAAACGTCGTAAAAGTCATGATAACTACATGTTATTATACATAGTTGATTAATATAGCCAAAGCGAAAAATAGTAATAAATTAGTAACTATTAATAGTATATGGCATCCTTTGTATTAACATTATGTATATATATATATATATATATATATATATATATACACAATATATATACAATATATATACAATATATATATATACACAGAAATTAATAGCACTGTATACAATTTTAGTCTGATTAAATGAGATTGTTCTTTTAATAATACATATAAATGCAAAGAATCTTTCGGTGCATTGTTAAAATCATATTTAAATTAAATTTAAAGTAACAATAAAATTTCTCATTTTTCAGTAAATAAGCATTAAGTTACTGATGTGATTAGAACGTGTTTATGTAATACTTGGTTTGTAACTTTCATACAAAGAAAAACTATAACAAGTTCAAAAAGCAAGAGAATAACTTACATGAATTTTTGCTAATTTAAAATAGTAACAAATGATCGAAATTAATATTCGTTATTACGGTAATTTAACAATTAGACTAAAATCATTGTCAGGGTACCATGTAATATAATGTTTAGCATTATTGTCTGTTATCATTTGAAAGATGAAAGACACAGTAATCTTTCTACTGTCATATATATATATATATCTTTGTACATTTTCTTAAATAGTCCTGCCATTATGGGTTTCTGGGATAAAATAGGGGCTCAACGCCTAATATGTTCTCTGTTATGGAAAAAGACTAACCCAGACCTATATAGAACTGACACAATTCAATTACATTCCTTGTTATTAATAGAATGGAGATATATTGTATTCAAATATATAATTATTTATATAAAAATATTAGGATATGTCATAATTTGTATATTACATAATGTATAATTTTCTAATCATTCTTGCTAATGTTTTAAATTTCTTTCTTATTTACGAATATAAGTAGTCCATTCGTATATTTACATCTATATATTTACACTTAGTTATTTAAAATTGTTATAAAGAAATGAATAATTTAACGAATTAACGATTATGTTGCTACTATAGATCGATTTGTGGATGTTTATAATCCATGTATGTACCTGTGATAGAATAGAATATTGTACTTTAGACTCACAAATACTGTGCATGTAATTAGTAAATTCTTTACTTTGTAACTAATTACAACCTAATCTGAATTACAAATTACAAAACATTCCCAAGAAATAACATCGTATTAAATACGTGTATATGTTAATTAACTTTTTATTAAAACATAATAGTATTTAAATATATATACATTTATATGACAGAAATACATACATCTAATAATTGTAATAAATCTTCTAGCTATATGATATATGTGGATAACAAGATATTTGGTTCATGAGTCAACTGAGGCTCTATCAATGTAATTGAATATCGAAATACATAAAAAATCAACTCCCAAAATATAATCAATATTTCTTACCTTACACTCAGTTAAATTACTTAGGCTTAGTAGTTTATATCTATTTTATTTTTTGTTTCTTAAAAAATAAAATATTAAAAATTTTGTGATATATATATGTGGTTTATCAATATGTGTATGTACATATACATACATGCATGTATATCTACACACACATTTATATATAAGACTTGTTTAAAATTAGAACCAATTGCAATACAGGTATTTGGAATTAAGATGCATGCGAAGAACCACTACAACAGGAACTCTTAGTTGGTTCAGTTTCTTCAGCTTCATCTTCAACTACAACAACATTGCGACGTGTACTACTTGTTCTTGTTAATGTAGACTTTTGTTCCATCAGATCTGCATGTTCTATCATGCGCAGCGTTAATTGGAAAAACATTTCTTCAATATTTTCACTTAGTTTGGCAGAAATATGAAAGTGCATAGCTCCAGTTTTATTAGCAAACCTAATAATCAAATTTTACATTAAAACAAATTGGAAAAGAGAAGAAAAAATAAAAAAGTAAAAGAAACTTACTCTTCTGCTTCTTCTGTACAAACACGTCTATCCTTTTCAAGATCTATTTTATTTCCGGCAATTGCTAAACAGATTCCACTGCCTAACATTTTCCTAAGCTCTGTAACCCAATTTATTACCTGTGAAATGAACGTTAATATAGGATATAAGAAAGTAAAATAATATTTTTCTTTAAATCTTTACCCTCTGAAATGTATCGTAATCAGTAACATCGTAAACTATAATGGCACCATTTGACATTCTGTAATAAATTGGTCCCAATGCATGAAATTTTTCTTGACCAGCTGTATCCCATATCGCCAGGTTTACTTTTTTTCCGTGTACAGTCAACTTTTTATTTAAAAAAGAAGCCTGAAAGTATAAAAGTTCAGAATATTTCAATATTTATCACGACTGACAATTTACCAATCATGAGAACATTACATTATTATATTATTCGTACATGAACAAAAACAAAGAAATATAAATTCCAAATGTAGATCAAAGTTCGAAATAACGATACGAAACATTAACCACTTTTTACCTGTAATGTACTGATATGTCTATCGTTAAATTTGTTTTCAACGTATCGTAATGCAACAGAGGTTTTTCCGACACATCCTTCGCCGAGTAACACGACTTTGAAATTATAACCATTACCAGTACTACTAATCGGAGTGGCCATAATTTGCATATAACTAATATATACACTTAGAAAACAATATGACAGTCGTAATTGCGCAGAATAATCGTTGATAGAACAATTTATAGAGTATATTGACGACTGACGATCATAACGATGTGATATCCACGGGTGGGGCCCCTCATGCGGCTTTGTCCCCCTCTACGCTAATTCTCTAAGCAGTGGGGCAGCTTACGCTTCTCCTTCTATACATTTTGCAGTTACATATTTTCTCAATTCATACTCAATTCATTTACGTAAAATGAACTATATTTGCATTCTTACAACATTTCCATTAAGTAAGAGCAATGATAAATAATCATCTTATTTTACTGTTTTGAAAATAATAGAAAAATTCTATATTAATTTCTCCATATTAGGAGCACGAAACTCGTGCGGATCCACACTAGACTCATGCAACATAACAAGCGTCTTGGTTTCCTTGACGACAAAAACAAAGTGGGGGAAATGCATCTTATTCGTATCATAGCCTTCTTATTAAAGTTTGAATAACAGCGATTTAGAATTGCCATGAACTTGTGGTATCAATGATAGTAGTATCTCTACTGAATAACATGAAAATAAAAATAATTAACTATTTTCATTTAAGTAACTATTTACCAAGTAAAAAATGCAAGCATCTATTATTGCTTCTAATGTATCTCCGGTAGATGGTTTTTTTATATTATAAGTATTTATTAAGTCTTCATGTTTCATGTCTCGAAGTTCAAAACACATTATTCTGATATTATTGGACTTCTACTATGAATGTCTTACAAGTCGAAGAATTATAAATGATTCATATCCAATAATTTCAACGTTACTCGAAAAAGGAAAAATTCTACATGCTAAACGTTGATAAAGTTTATCTTTGGTTTATAAAATTAAAAAAGATTTATGTTACGTATAATTTCTTTTTCATCATGTTCGTTATCTACGAAGATGGCGCTAATATCACTGTTACTAAGCTACCGCAATTTTATTCAAATTATTCTGACAAAACACATTTTCCTACGTGTATCCTCAAATTTGTCGTTTATATATAAACTTCCGTGCTAAAATTTAACTAAAATAATTGATTAAATTCTATTTGTATCTTAAAAAACCGTAATTTTTACTGTTCTAGAACCCTGGTGGTACTTTATCGAACTGATGTCCGACAAAAATCAAATCCTTCACCGGAAATCAAACTTATACAAGTAAGAACAAGTTTATAATTTAAGTTCCGTACATTATCAGTACACGTCAAATATAATATATAACAAATTTTTTTTATAAAAAATATATCAACTAGACGTAAATAACGAGCAACGACAACGTAAAAATTACAATTTCTTATTTGGTACATATGGACGCTCGTCTGACTAGGACATGCAACAGACCCAGCGCCGTGAGCCTGCGCAAAGGAGCTCTCAAATCTGGCCGTCACCTGTATTGAAAAGGTAAGTACTCTGCTGTCATTAATCTCAACATCTTAATATGAATTTCGTGAACACGTGTGAGAAGAATACGACGTATTGATAACGCGACATATTGTCAGCAGGTTTGTGGATTGTCATACGAAATTACTCATGCGTTTATGATAAATATGTTCGGAGATGTCAGCGTCTTCGGCTCCGGGCTCTGAATCTGCCAGGCTGCTGTATCATCATCGATACATTTGACATTTATTTTTCATTCCCGTCTCTTTATCTCTTATTCTTTTAATCCGTCTTTGATACACGTTATTACAATCGTTGAAATTTCAGTGGTTTATGTCAAGTGTAACGAGAAACTTTCACCAGATCGTAGGTACCGTGTACCTTCATGGATTTTTCGTTGTCGGCACTCGTCATTCCATTGACAGGATACTGAATAACGTGCAGAAAGTACCGTTCGTATAACTTCTTGGAAATCTACCGGTTGTTACGTATTATTCATCTTTCAGACCAACAATGATTCCCGCGTTTTACCTGCGCGGTATTCCACTTGGCAAGTAGACTTGTTTGTTTGTGCGTGCTGTATCATCTGTCATGGCGTGCCCGCTTGTGGCGGGTATCATATCATTGACTTTTCCAATTGTTGTAAGCTCAAGATATATGTCAGTTGCTATCATCGCATGCGTTGCTCGAGAGGAGTCGTTCAAATAATTTTTGAGAGACTGATGGAAGAGAATATCATATTTATCTAATATTTCGAATAAACATACTGTGTATTCGTTATGACGGGGTTGGTTAGAACGGTGGGAAGGGAAGGAATCGACGATGGCGGCGGACTGTACCGTGCCACGCGCCATGTCGGTCTCTTGCTCGCGCACGTCCTTCGTTCAGTGCACTACGTTTGTCTGTAGATTTCTTTTTTTGTCTTTGTGAAAATGGCACACGATCTGTCACAATTGAACTTCAGTAGGGATCCATATACTTGTAAAAGAAGCCTCATAGCTCTATTCTTAATGTTATATGTGCTTTGAAAATTGATCAGTCTTTTTACCTCTGACAATATAAAAAAAAAAATTGAGTCGAGACATTTTTAGACGGAATCGCGGTCTTTGAGTTTATGCACTGTTATACCAGTGCACGCTAAGTATCTTCTCTTCTTATGAAAACTTCTATCAATATAACTATCTTGCCCATCATTTTTGTTTATTTCATT